CCGCCTTGCGAGATTCAAACTCAGGACTAATCAGTCTTGCACGCAAGTGCCTAGCCACTAGACCACTGAGTCAGCCGGCATTCAACGGTGTTAGTGTTTAACTTCAGACATAATGTCTTGCTTTTTACAACAAATAGGATATTACAAATATCGATTTTTTTTCCCATAAGGTGTTCAAATAATTATTCACTTAAGAAATTAGAAAAATTATTACAGAAATAAACATGATCAGGAATGCACACCCACGATCCCGCCTCGCGAAATTCGAACCCAGTACATATGGATCTCGTGCGTGAACGCTTAACATCTAGAACACTGAACCAGCATCCAATGGTGTTAATGTCTAACTTCAGCATATGCTTACTAGTGACTGGTTTCAAGTGGTATTTCCTGGAGTCCTAGTGAGAAGCAGTGACTAATGGAGTTCAACCAGGTCTGGTTTGAGATAGTAACTCGCTGAAGACAATGGTGGACGGTGGCGCAATTCCGTAGATTAGTTGAACCTCATAAGGCGGGATCGTGGATTGCATTTCTAGGTTGTCCTACTATAGGACAGAATGGCTATCGAATGCTTCCAGGTTTTCCATGTTGGTCTAGATTCAATTGACTCATTATCCCAACTATTGGAATTATCAGAATTGTTTAACTGCCGTTATCAAACCCTACATTATAGGGAGGCAAGTTGAAATAGTTTCGATTGTTCAATGGTTGATAACTGTTGCTTTGCTATTTAATTGAAGCATGATATTGATTTTTCGATCATTTGCACTAAACTCTGATTACTATTGTTTCTTTTTTTCAAGTCGCTGATCGTTTTAAGTATTTAAACTTCTAGGTATTGTATCTTGAAGTCAGTCACTAGTGGGAATATGATGATTACTAGCATGGAGAGATTGGTGGACTTTGTAGGATTTCCTTACCTTAAATCATGGACTGATTTTATTTAAACTTCTTTCTAAGTAGTCATAGATACTGTTATAAGTAATAGTGTAGAAGATTGGTCAATTTGTAGTCTATATAACAGGTTGGTTGTAGCTAGACAACCATAGAGAACTATGATCCATCGTTTCATCCTACTATGGGACTTTTTAACAGCTCGCATTCTGCAACGTTATCAGGGATCGAGCACTAAACCTTTTAATCTTATAGAATCTGTTGTCTGTCGAGCTACTAAGATGATGTTCTTTAATTAACTCTCATGGATTCGATTAAATTTTAGATATGTATTATCAATGACAGTTAATCATTAACACTTCAAATGACGGAATGATCAAAGTGTGATATTTTGATCTTTAGGTCGTTGAAACATTGATTTATGAAATCTTATATATAAAAATTTGTAAAGTATTAAACTATAATGAAATTGTTATCTAATTTCTTTTTGATTTGTGATCTTTCCTCTTTTTTTAAAAAAAATAAAATTTATGTGTATATTACATAATATTACATTTCAAAATCCTATGACTTACAAATTACATATACCAATAGACCATTAACACATATTTCGTAATAGTTGAATTCATGAGTCGATGTAAGCTAGACCACCATGGAAAACCCGGAAGTACTGGACGACCGTTTCGTCCTAGTATGGGAATCCTGAACAGTGCGCATCCATGATCCCACAGCAAAGAGACTCTAACCCAGGACCTTCGATCTCACACGTGAACACAACTTCTTGACCACTGAGCCGGCATCCAACGGTTTTGATGTCTAACTTCAACCAACACATGATACTGAGTGACAGTCCATCATTGTCTTCAGTGAGTAACTACCTCACAAATCATTTTTATATCGATCAAATATTAAGTTGAAGTAACCATTTTACTTAAGCTAACATACACTTGATTTTCGAATGTAAAGTCTTTTAATTAAGAATATAACACTATTGTAGTTTCATGAAGTTGTTAGCTGAGTATTTTATAACAGCCTTGGAATGCAGTCATTTTACTGGCTAGTGACTGAAAAAAACTATCCAAATATTTTAACTTAAAGTCTATACTTTTAAACCTACATGATTTTAGCTGTCAATACTTCTTACTACGCTTATCAATTGAATCTGTAAAGACATTTGAAGATTTAAGTTTCCAACCTGATTAAATTAAACATCTAACCATTTTATATAAATCGCTTTCTGAACTTTAATTTCATTGAGCTTTGTCCGATTTTAAACAGAGCGATCTGATCTGACAAAGTCAAAATTATTCTTTATCATATGTTGGTCGCGTGAAATAAACAAGCCTAGGTAATCTGTAGACTGTTGTCTGAGATTCTATTCTTTTTTTTCAGTACTTTTACACTTACTTAAGTGTTTTAGCAATATTAGATAATAGAATATTTTATTGCTCTTTCATAAGTTCCACGGAGAAGTAACTGCTTCAAGGTTTAACCGATAAGATTGCTTTTTTTTCAAAGTCATTAAGTTGTATATGAAGAATAATTGGAAATTCCTATTTCTTATCCTGTCAATTCAGTACTTTGGTCCACCATTTTGAGAAACGTTTTGTTATTTTCGTCTTATTACTCATGAGTAGCTAAACGTTTTATTAAACAAAATGACATGACTAGTTTTCAGTTAAAGTAGAACTATATTCGAAAGATAATCAATAACTGTTCTTATAAAGTTCTTTCTTGGTTCACTTTACTGCTTAATTAATCATGTGTCATTTGTATGGGACACTAAAGCATCTCAAAAATGACGAAACCATTGATGCAATGGTTACCGTAATATGTTTACATGATTTACATGATTCACTTGAAAGGTGAATGCTTATAAGCCATAGGATTCGTAAATAATCACCTGATATTTGACTGATAGCCCTATTTCGTGTGTGAGGTCTTGTGATACCCAAGTTAGGTTTTGGGCCTAAAACCTTTTGATTGAAAGTCGAACACATATGATATTAATCCAGCATTCTGGAAACCGTTCGCATCAATTAGCAGTATTATTTAAATAGCGGATCGATCAATGTTAGACAACCACTGGAAACTTAGAATCAGGGGATGGCTATTTCGTCTCAACATGGAATTCCTCAAAGGTGAGTGTCCACAACCCCTTATGCAGAAATCGAACCCAATACCGTCGGTCTCGTTCATGAACGTCCAACCTCTGGAGCACTGAGTTGGCATCCATTGATGTTCGAGTACAACGTTAATCGGTCCACGATAGTGCACGATTATCTCCTAATGTATTTGATGGGAGCTTTCCTCACATGCGATACAGTTTAGCTCAACTGGTAGCGTGCTATCTTGGAGTGATTGAATTTATAATAGAAACCATTAGATGCCCCCTCAGTAGTTTGTAGTTTAAACGCTTACATACAAGGCTGAAAGTCATGGGTTCGGTTACCGCTTGCGGAGTCGTAGATGTGCACCTCTAAACGGTCCTACAATACGATGGGATATCAGTCCAGTCCTTCTAGGTTTTCAATAGTGGTTTGACATTGATCGATTTGTGGTTTCAACGCAATTTAACAATCTCCACAGACAAATTTTGTATTTGTCTATACAGAACAACTTTTAAATGGACAAGTTATCAAACAGAATAGTTTATTGTTGTAATCATAAGTGAAAGATCCGTATCATAAAAATTATTATTACTATTATTATCGCTACCATATCTGAAAACTTTTGAATGTTAATTGACTGAAGAAGTTATATGGAACAACTTTACGCAATACAAGTAAGAAGACTCAAATTTAAAAAGTATCTCGGAATTTTCAAGATTAGTAAATTGGTCTTTCCTTCACTAACATTGTCGACACATGTAGTCGTTATCCACCTCGGATACCGCATTTTGTTTGGTAAGGGAGATTTCAGTCTCATTATAGCTACATGATTTAATGTTATGTCTGTTGAGATTTATCAGTAGTGAGTATACAATTACAAAGGCTCAAACTCTTGTCACATACATATACCATTTGACATAGTAGTATCAAGTTTTTTGATTAACAGAAATTCATATTTTCACCTACATCAAGGGCATATATAAACCATGGTGATAATAGCTAAAAAGTAAGAGGCTTACATATAAGGTTTTTTAAACGTATATTTCTAAACATCTAATGAAACGATTCTTATAATCGCTTATTCATTTATCTGGTTGTTTTCGTCAGTAACTTAATGAAGCTCATAAGTAGAGTGAAAACAAAATTGAAGGTCTTAATCAAGCTGACTACTACTTTGCCACTTCACAAAACAACTGTGACTATGTTGGAATTAATTGTATAGTAGGTTTTAATTTAATAGAAGCATAAATGTCATTTAATCAACTTCATGTTCAGTGGTCATGACTATACTCTATTAACAAATTATTTAGTTATCATTATAATTCTCTTTATGCAATTATATATCATTCAGAAGATTTAATGGGTCTGCATTGATAGGGTGATTAAAATCACTGTAATAAGGAATATTTGCTCTAATACTCTGAAAACTACTTACGATGATGTGTAAACGTAAAATTTAGCTATCAGTCTTGAAGAATAGGTCAAAATGCTATAATAGAATGGATGGAGTGTGGTTAGCAATCGAATCCAGGACACACGTTTAATTCTGTTTGAGTCTCGTCGGCTACATATACGTCCATCCTAGAGTTGATGTTCACTTCGGAACTCAAACCCAGTAACAAATGGTGCTGAGTCCAAATCCCGGAATAAACATTGACACTTCTTTGCAGGTACATCTAGCTGACGAGTCTCAAATAGAACGAAACACGTGTTGTGCATTCCACTGTTAGTCACATTACATCTATTCTATATTAACTTATGTTATAGTGGCTATATCAAAGCAATGCTCAATGAATGCCCGTATACCAACCAAGACTGATCAAATTTTAGACAAATTACCAACAACTGGATTATTCAAAGCATTTTAAATTGAGCTAAGAAGTTGTTAATTTGTGATAATATTTCATTTCTTTTGAAAATTTAGTTGCATATACTCAACAATTCAATCATTATTAACTTATTTATATTCCCTTTTTTTAATTTTCTGTTTTACAGCTATACCCTACAATGTGTTTTGCCAATTAATAATTTCACAGAGAAAATCTACGTATTTCTATGGTTTTGGTTTGCAATACTTGGTTTATTAACTACATTGAATACATTACAATGGGCATTAAATACAATATTACCATCACGTCGTGTACGATATATTAAACAATATTTAAAAGCATTAAGACTTATATCTAGTACAGAAGAACGTGATTGTGCACGTTTTGTAAATAATAATTTAGGCGCTGATGGTGTATTTATACTTCATGTTGTTTCAAAAATAGCTAGTGATCTTATTGCATTAGATGTAACAGCAACATTATGGAAAAATTATCGACAAGCTAAAATTACAGGAACAGAAGAAGATGTTAATCGATTACTTGAAACAGTGAATCGTGGTTCTTCTGTTGTCTGACCATAATGTGGACGTCGATTTGTTGAATTAATATCATAGACATCAATTTGAAAAAATCAATGAATCAATATTATCATTATTGAGGAAAAAAACAAACAAAAGTGAACATATACCTGAACACACGTACATACATATGTTTATCAAAAAAAAACAATTCAAGTTTATTATTCTCAGTACTCATTAGATCGGCGTCCACATTTAAAAATAAATAAACAAATGAAACTCCAAATAACATTTTGATTATATCTGTCTTTCCTAATTCATAGTTTATTATACGTGGCCAATATTATTACTAATAGAATTATACTACTTATTAATGTAATATGTAGTATATATATATATTGAATATTTTTTTGAGTAATCCATGAGATTTATTTACAAAATCGACTATAGATTTTCAAAATATTAATATATATCTGAGGACCAAATTCAAACCCCCTCTCAATTCATGCTTATATATATATATATATATATATATATATATATATATATATATACATATATATATATAACCATTTGAAACACTGATCTATTCAACACTGTTAATTAGTAATTTTTAATCTTTCAGAATTCATGTTTTTCAACAACAACAAATAACAACTAATGGTTTCTTCATCTCTATCACATTTTGAATGTTTCCATATTATCTATTAAAAGTAACTAAGTGGATACATGGATTAGAAAAAATATTAACAATATAACTGAACTTTTAATTAAATTTTATGTAAGTAGAGGTTATTTACAAAATAGATTTATTGAAAGAAAAAAATAGAATTCAAAAAGATTGATAGGTAGACAGACAGGTAACCAGTCAGACAGATATATAGACAGACAGTTAGATAGATAGATTGATAGACAGACAGAAAAAATGAACAGATTAACAATAGAAACAGATTAGTATATGAGCAAATCAATAGAAATGGCAAAAAAAATGAACACACAGACACACAGAGAGAGGGAGGTAGAAAAAAGTTACACAATAAAGTGGAATGAAATCTGATTTGATTTTTGTATACTTTTCTTTCTTCTGTCTTTATTTCATGATTTTTGTTTACATTTTATTTTATCAATAATTTTTTTTCTCTCCTTTTTGATCTACTGTACAGAAAAATGGAGACCATTTGTAATAAAAATGTTTTGCTTTTCAAAAAACGGATCATTCTTATATCATTATTATTATGACCTTACACAATATACATTATCTCGTACTTCCTCTTTTATTAGTTTGTTTGTTTAGTTGTTTTTTTCTCCTTGTTATTTATTGTTTGTTTTTATTAGAATAATGAAATTGGAAATGATTAATTTTATATTCTATGTAGTATATAATCATATATATGTCCATATATGTACATGTATTCCTTCTCTCTCTCTCTCTCTCTCTCTCCCATGTATGTACTAATGATTTAGTTAATATTCAAATTCTTTTTTGTTTTTGTTTGAAAATTCAATGTGATAAACAAAAGATCATAATCACATATTGAAGAGTTTCTAATATCATCACCACAATTACACCACTACCACCACCAACAATGTCATAGATATTAGAGATTGTTTTCTTATAAGAGTTCAGAATTATAATGAATAAGATGAAAGATAATATTAACAGAAAGTATTCACTCATATACACATTATTGATAAATAAGAAAATGAAAGTTTAGCTGTGGATTTTGTCATGTTGATATTCATTTTCCCCACTTCTTATCATCCTTTGTTTTTTTTTATATTATCTCTTATTCCTCATGTACGAATTGTTCTTCTTTAAATGATAAGATGTGTATGTGTGTGATTATGAAGTGTTAAGTATTTCAGATTGTGTCTGTCCGTCTGTCTGTCTGTCTGTCTATCTATCTATTTGAGTCTGTGGCTGTGTACATATGTGTCTGTATGAAATGATAATATTAATATTATTTATTATATCATTAAACCAACACTTACATATAAACAGATCAAATCAAATACTCACCTTTACTTTCATACATACCTTCCTAATTACCGATATGATTATTGTCTATGAATGTTATCTATTTCTCTCTTCATATTGAATAATGAGTTGTTTTTTTTCACACTAAGGTTGTGTAGGGAAGAAAGAGGAAATAATTCTTTTTCCGTAAATTTTTACATACATTACTTTCCTTTAGATATTACTCTCAAGTTATTATATACATATATATATATTTAGAAATGTTTTTATAAACTGAAGATAAAAAAATCCACATTCCAAATGATCATATTTCATAACTAAAAATAAGTGTGTTGTGAGAATTAGTCCAGATGTACACATAGGCACACAAACACATATATATATATATATATGTGTGTGTGTGTGAATAGGATATATATACAAATTGAGAAGACTGGATTGTAAAATGTATGATTAAATCAGGAAAATTAAGGGACCAGTTCCTTAGTGTTACAAGTTATATACAGTTCAAATGAATTTAGATTGTTGCTAACAGTGTATACATATGCATACACGCACAACATAACAAAAGGAATCAACAAAAACAACATATACACACTCTATTTGTAGTAGTCTAAATCAAGTTTGAATATAATATACATTCATCCTTCTCTTTCTCTTTCTCTTTATATATATATAATTATGTACAATCACATATGCATAAATATATAGCTACGGATACATATGTAACTAATTTATATTGAAACCGTTATTTGATAGATTCGTTTGACAATCCTTTTCATCTTGAATCTCTTACTTCTATTGAGTGTTTTACCTAAAAATTGACAAAACGTATGAGATAAATTGAGAAATAATAGAATAAGTGAGCAACGATAAGAACGGAGTAATGGTAGTGGGTAGAAGATAGTCGAACTACTATATAAAGCACCAATGTTTCCTTTTTATTGATGACTTTTTTTCTATAAAATAGTTTCTCATTCACATGCTCTTTCTCTTTCTGTCTCGTATTTCTCACATACATGTCTTTATGTTAATTTGAGATTTTGTTCTTCAATAGTTTTTTTAATACCCCCCCCTATCTTGAACATATTGTAAATTACTGGAGTTATCTTTATTTATTTATTTCTCATTAAGTCCATTAATTTACTTGAGTGATTCATATATATATATATATATATATATATATATATATATATATATATATATATATATATATATATATATATATATATATATATATATATATATATATATATATATATATATATATTGGAATCATACCAGATATATAAGCAAAGATAGTAATCACTAATATCTATACGACGAATATATATCTACAATTTATTATGATGATAATTCTTATCAAGAACACCAATACTACTGACAGTAATAATAGTCAATATAATTCTGTGTAGTGTATTTTCTATAACAGAAAATGAATTTCCTTTACCTAAGGGTCCATCATTTAAAGAATTCGTTTCTTTTTTTCTACTGAATTACTAATATTTGTCGTTATCATCGTTATTATTGTTATATAACATTCCTTTTATACTGTCAATAGCATTGTGTTGTTATGTGAACCATCTCAGTCTTTTTTAAATAGCAGGTTCATTTTCATGTTAGTGATATATACATACAGACACCAACACACATACATGTATACATGTATTTACACATATATGTACATGTTTTGACTTGATTCAACCATTTAATTCTTTTATTTAGCAAAGTATATTATCTAGGTTCATAATTTTAACACACGTCCATATATATGCATACAAAGTCAATTTCAACCATAGTGAATCAGTTTAAAAATATCATTGTTCTTTCACCCTTCTTTTCCTACCTCTTTCTTTCTATGTTAGCACACATACTTTTATTCAGTTCAAATGTCAGATTGTTATTTAGTTTGAGAATGATCTCCAACCACTGACCATTCATTCCTGTTAGCTCTATTTTGTTGCTGTTTTTCTTTTCTTACAATAACAAAAAACTACTACAACAAACGACAACAACTACTAACCATAGTGACAACAACGTCGATAACAGCAATGATAACAGTGATTAAAACGACCACAATTAACAACGAAGAAAACGTAGAATAAGATTCGGAAGAAGAAGAGACGATAAACAAGAGAATTTATGTTGTCAGCATTTTATTTTTTTCCCGTGTATGATATTGTACAAATATTCTCTATCCATTTTTTCTTCTTTTGTTCTTTCATGTTTCGTTTGTTTATTTTATTGCTCAAGATAATAAATAATATTATAATAGTAATAATGATATTAATAATAATAATATTAATAATAATAATAATATGATTATTACTAGTAATGCTACTAATAATCGAGTAGTGGCAATTATGTCATCTATTTGTTTGATCTGTTTGCTGATCATTTTAAACAGGGTGGTGTATATAATTCTGAGTAGAAGTATTCAAGTTATATTTGAAGAGTCTCTGGTAATCTGATGCATCTGGTTGTGCATGTATGTATGTATATATGTATGCATGCATGTATGTATGCAAGTATGTATGTATGTATGCGTGTGTGTTAGTGTATTTTTGTGCTCGGATTCATTAACAGAATAAGATTAAACTATAACCGGTTATTATAAGCAAAGATGGATAGTGGCTAGCAGTGGAATCCAGGGCACGCGTTTCGTCCTGTTTGGGACTCGTCAGCTGGATGTATTTGCATCTCAGAGTTGATGTTCACTCTGGGACTTGAACTCAGTGCCGTTCGCTTCAAACGCCATCGCGTTATCCACTTAGCTACTGAGTCCTGATATCCACTTGCTTGTGCAATGGGGTGAAGATTATAACCGGAGATAATTAAAATATGTTATTGATACTGTTTTGATAACATTTTAATTTATATTAATAAGCATTTAACCCTGACAGTATTAGATTGGTATTTTATCATAATTTTGGACTCTTTAACAATATGTAATAGTGACTACACATATGCCATACACATTTTTAAAATCAGTAGTATTTTTATACATTGATTCAAATATTTTGGTGTCCATCATAGCACCTAAAGGTTAGTGTTGAATACTATTGAGTGGTTCAGAATTAAGTGAAAACAGATTTCAAATGTCTTTCAATTGACATCAATTGGTAATAGGAAAATCATTTTAAATCTAAACAGAAATGTTTAGAAAATTTATACCTACCTGAAAAATTAAACATTGGTTTTACATAATTACGTAGTCCATAAAAATTACCTTATGTAAATAATTCACATAGAAAGGAAATGGTTAGACTTGTTTTTCGTCTAAAAAAGTGATATATCTTGTAGTTGAACGTTTAAACATTGACTTTTTAACCTCTTCTTGAGCCTACAGGATTTGAAAGCTTTTATTTGGGGGTCAGTTTGTTTATAAAAATTGCTGTTAAGTACACTGTTGTATGTGACCGTGAGCTTCTGACAACTTTTAGAAAGCACAGTCCTATCAGAATGAGTAAAGTGTAATCAGTCGCTTGTTAACTTTCTCTCATAAAATTTTGACGAACATTGATC